GTACTCGGTCCTAAGGGCTTGTTGAATATTTTTAAAATTGCTTTTTCATTCCATGCTCATTCACTTTTTTTGTTTCTGGCAACAGCTTTACTAAGACATTTCACATGCCATACTAGCCATGTTTTGGCCGTTCATTTTTGACATGGCCCGAATTTGGACACCCCCCCTCCCCCCGCCCCCTCCAAACCAGTAGTGGTAAATCTGTTTACTCGGGCTACTCAGTTTCACTGTGAATGGCAGGTTTCACTATGAACACACAGTTTCACTATGAGCAGCAGGGGCAACCGTTTTCTTAGGGCACATGCTCACACACACTATTAACATTTAATAGAATGTGTTTGCAAGTGTTCGGGGGGTGATTTCTGAGGATACAGAAGAGCAAAACTTACTAGCCCCTAGTGAAATGTAACATGTTACCTTGTTTTCTTAAAGTCCAAGTTTAGTAGTTGGCAGTGTATAGAGCAGCCGTGGGCAAACTACGGCCCGCGGGCCGGATTCGGCCCGTTTGAAATGAATAAAACTATTGAAAAAAAAGACCGTACCCTTTTATGTGATGATGTTTACTTTGAATTTATATTAGTTCACACAAACACTCCATCCGGCCCTCCGGTCCAGTTTAAGAACCCATTGTGGCCGAAACCGGTTTGGTTCGGTGGATAGAGCGTCGGCCTGTGGACTGAGAGGTCCCAGGTTCGATTCCGGTCAAGGGCATGTACCTGGGTTGCGGGCACATCCCCAGTAGGAGATGTGCAGGAGGCAGCTGATGGATGCTTCTCTCTCATTGATGTTTCTAACTCTCTATCCCCCTTCCTCTCTGTAAAAAATCAATAAAATATATTTAAAAAAAAAAACACAACAAAAACCCATTGTGGCCCTCGAGTCAAAAAGTTTGCCCACCCCTGGTCTAGAGCATGTTTCCTTGTCATTAGACTTGTGATGCTCAGTGTTTTTAAAAAGGCCATATGAGATATAATTACATAATAAAGGTCAGTTATGTTTAATTACACTCATTAATTAATGAGGGTTGTTGTGCTTTTGACACGAATCTTATTTTAAAAAATATGGCTTTATTGCTTTTAGAGAGAGGAAGGGAAAAGGAGAGAAAATTCAATGTGAGAAACATTGATTGATTGCCTCCTTCCTGGCCCTTACTGGGGATGGAGCCCCAAGCCTGGTCATGTGCCCTGGCCAGGAATCAAACGCTCAACCAAATGGGCGACACTGGCCAGAGCTGGCACATACACCTTTCAAGGACCTCAAGGTCTTCTCTGTAGAGGAATGTATCCATGAAAGTTTCAGTGTGTTTGGATATTTATGTTAATAAAACTTGAAACAGCAAGTAAAAAATAAATAGCCTCCCCCTTTTCCTTTCCATTTCTTCATAGTAAGTGCTGTTAGTATTGTAGCTTTATCCTACCAGCTTTTTTGTAGCGCTAGACAAATATTTGTGTGTTCGAATTAAAAGGCATGATAACATCACATCTGTGGCTTATGTATTGGGGTTAGTATATTATGGATATCTTGCCATGCAATGACTACATTGAAATATAGAGTGATGTCTTTACATTATGTCACAATGTGAATGCAGTAACAGGTTGCTCACACTTTCTTGAGTAGAAATGTTATGTGACATTATTATTTGCTTACATACATTTCTATCTTTTTGTTTTTGCCACTTGGATGGATGAAAAGTGTTTATTGGCATTTGCTTGACTTCTCATATTTAAGTAGGTTTTGAGTCTTTGAATTTCAACTGGAGTGAATATGTCCATTCTGTACGCGCACTATTATTATATTGAATCATTGTCCTTATTAATTTTTTGGAGCCCCTTTACATGATGAATAAGAACTCTTGCCCTAACTGGTTTACTGTAACACCATCAATCTGCGGACTGAAGGGTCACAGGTTTGATTCCAGTCAAGGGCACTTACCTCGTTTGCAGGCCCAGTTGCAATAGATTTCCAACATTACGTCGAATAAGAATTGGTAAAGTTGGACATCCCTGTCTTGCTCCTGTTCTCAGTGAAATGGTTTTAGTTTTTGCCCCATTGACTATCGTGTTGGCTGTAGGTTTGTCATATATGTCCTTTATTATTTTGTGGTATGATCCCTCTACTAGTATTTCCACTTTGCTGAGAGTTTTTATCAAAACTGAGTGTTGGAATTTGTTGGAATGCTTTTTCTGCATCTATTGATATGCTCATGTGAGTTAGTCTTTCAATTTATGTGATGTGTCACGTTTATTGATTTGCGAATATTGTACCAGCCTTGCATCCTTAGAGTAAATCCCCCTTGGTCATGTTGTATGATGTTTAAAAAAATATATATATATATATAGTTTTCTTGATTTCAGAGAAGGAAGAGAGGGAGAGATAGAAACATCAACGATGAGAGAGAATCATGATCGGTTGCTTCCTGCAGACCTCCTGCTGTGGATTAAGCACGTGCCCTGACCGGAACTGAACCCTGACCTCCTGGTTCAGAGGTTGACACTGAACCACTGAGACACACCAGCCAGGCATGATCTTTTTAATATATTGCTGGATCCGATTTGCTAATATTTGTTGAGGATTTTAGCATCTTGTTCATCATGGATATTGGCCTGTAAATCTCTTTCTTTGTAGTCTTTATCTGGTTTTGGAATTAGGATAATGCTGGCCTCATAAAAATGAGCTTAGAAGTGTTCCTTCCTCTTGGATTTTTTGGAATAGTTTGAAGAGGATAGGTGTTAATTCTTTGGAATGTTTGGTAAAACTCCCCTGTGAAGCTGTTTGGACCAGGGCTTTGGTTTGCTGAGAGTTTCTTTTTTATTATTATCACTGCTTCAATTTCATCAGTTGTTATGGGTCTATTCTTCCTAATTAAGTTTTGGAAGATTATACTTTTCTAGGAATTTGTTTATTATGTCCAGGTTGGCCAGCTTGTTGGCATATAGCTTATCATAGTCTTTTCTTACAATCCTTTATATTTCTGTGGTGTCAGTTGTTATCTCACCGTTTTCATTTCTAGTTTTATTTAGTCTCTATGTCATACAAAAAGCAACCAATAATGTGTAAATAAGTGGAATAACAAATCAATGTTTTGCTCAATCTGTCAAATCAATAAATAAAAAAAAGAAATTAGATATAGTTTTTTTCTACTAAGATTGATTAGTGTTGTTTTATACAGTTGGATAATGCTTACATATTTTATGTTCTGGATATAACTATTTGCAATTCTGAATTCTGGTCAGTTTTTAATAAATGCTCCTGATTTCTCTGTGGAATCAGTTGTATCATCTTTATCCAACAAGAAATCTCCTAATTTTTTATATTCATTTTTTTTTCTCCTTGGCATTGAATAGAACGTCCAGTGCCATGTTTAAATGTTAGTAGTATTAGAAGTTATCTTTCTCTTTGCTTCTCCCATTAGTGTTTTAAATATTTCATACATTGGCTTTTAGTATATTCATAAGGTTGTGCAATCATCATCATGTCCATTTTTTTTAAAAAAAATACTTTTTTTATTGATTTCAGAGAGGAAAGAAGAGGAAGAGAGAGAGATAGAAACAGCAATGATAAGAGACAATCATTGATTGGCTGCCTTCTGCACACCCCACACTGGGGATCAAGCCCGCATCCTGGGCATGTCCCCTGACTACGAATTGAACCGTGATCTCCTGGTGCATAGGTCAATGCTCAACCACTGAGACATGTCGGCCAGTCCGAATATGATTTCTTAATGGGTATAAGGTTTCTCTTCTGATGATGAAAATATTCTAGAATTAGATAAGAGTCAGTTTTTGACAGCATTGTGAATGTACTAAAAACCACAGTAATATATAATTTTAAATGGTAACATTGAATTTTACTTTATTAGAATTTGATCTCAGTATAAATTTTTTTTAAAATATATTTTATTGATTTTTTACAGAGAGGAAGGGAGAGAGATAGAGAGTTAGAAACATCGATGAGAGAGAAACATCGATCAGCCGCCTCCTGCACATCTCCTACTGGGGATGTGCCCGCAACCCAGGTACATGCCCTTGACCGGAATCGAACCTAGGACCCTTCAGTCCGCAGGCCGACGCTCTATCCACTGAGCCAAACCGGTTTCGGCCTCAGTATAAATTTTTAAAAGGAATTGTATCACTACCCACTCACCAGAGTGACCAAATTAAAAGACAGTAAATACTAATTGTTAATGAGAATGTAGAAGAATTGGAGCTCTCATAATCATTGGCTGAAAGTGTATTGATAACCACTTTAGAAAAAGTTTTGCCCTATGTACTAAAGTTGAAGATATACAGACATATTCACACACTTTAGCACCCAGCATTTTCACTCCACACAATGCATATAATAAAACTATAAGAGTATACTTGTAATAGTCAAAAACTAGAAATAACTTAAATGTCCATCTACAGTTGAAAGATCAATATAATGAGTTACTATACAAAACCATGAATTACAAGTGTTCTTAACAAGTTGTGAACTTCCAATGGCTCATAGTGAGATATTTAAATGGATAAATCTCACAAATATAATTTTGAGTGAAAGGCAGTCAGTTACGTAGTTTGATAATAAGCAAAAGAAATCTATGATGTCAAAGCAATGGTTTGCCTTTGGCACTTGAATGATGATTCGAAGGAAATTTCTTGATTGGATTCTTGGCATATACATGTTCTTTCAGGAAAATTCAACATTATATACTTAGGATTTATACATTTTCTACTTCAGTGCACTTTGCATTAAAATAACAGAAGTTGCCCCATGAAATGGTACCAATTTATAATTATTTAACAGGCAAGAGAGTATAATAGTTTCTACTTTTTTTTCCTTTCTCTCTACACACCTCTTACTGGTATTTTATGACTTCTCTGAACATGTAAAAGTGAAAATAATATTCTCTGGGGCTTCACATTTATTTTCTCTTTAATTGTTAAGTTCCAATGGCTCTTATTCAGATATTTAAATGGATAATATGAATATTTGCTGTGTTTGTTTTACAGGCAGATTTTAAAAACAAAGCAGTAAATGGCCCCAAGTCAGTATCCATGGACTACAGTGGATGTGGTCATGGGGAAGAAAAAAGATTGGAATTGAACCCACATCCCCCTGAAAATGTAACTGAAAATGAAGAAAGTATGACAGGTATTGAAGTGGAGAAGTGGACACAGAGCAAGAAATCACATTTAACAGATCAAGTCAAAGGAGAGTTTAAGGCAATTGTGACAGAAGGTGAAAAACTGGGAAACTCTGAAGATGACACGAAAAAAGTCCTACCTGACCCTCAAAATTTGTTTGCACAAACGGTAAAAAATGGCATTAAAAATGTACACTACTTACCAACGGAAACAGATGTGTCTTTTAAAAAATTCAACATTGAAGAATTTGGCAAGGTGTCCGAAAACAATTCCTGTAAACCCCTGATAGACACTGCAAACCAGAACAATGCCATGAGCTCCATTGCTGCTAATGCAAGCAGCGATCATCTTATGGGGAGAAGCAATGTTTTAGTCTTCCAGAAGCCTGTCTCTGAGTCTTTTCCTGATCCTGCAGACTTCAACTGCATGAGTCCTACGAGTACACGTACTGAAAGTGATCAACCAAAATCTCTAGAAAATATACCAACTTCAGAACCAATACACGGATCTCCAGTTCAACAAAATCTTCTATCCCTAGTGACAGATAGGACATTAACGCAGGAGCAAGTGGATGTTATAGAAGCTTTGGCTCAGCTTTCAAAACCCCCTGCAGAAAATTCCTCACCATCAACATCTGAGAAGGATGAAGAAAACGAGCAGATGTCAGCTAGTTTGTTTAATAACTGTAGAGCGTCAATCTATTCTGTAACAAAAGGCCTCAAAGAACCGTGTTTGCAGGGGGAGCCTCAAAGCCTTCACCACTGCCCATCTGTAGAAAAGCAAAGTTCGTGCCACACCGTGGTGTTCAATGGCCAGAGTCACATTTCCATGTCACATAACAGTGCAGCTACTGACCAAGTATCCCCGAAGCCACAGGAATATTCAAAAGCAAAAAATTCCACATCTCTTTTTACACCAAATTCTAGTTCATCTGAAATTGACACCAATAAAAATGCTGTTCATAATAGCAGTATTCTTGACAGTTGTTTAGAAAATTTGCATGAGTTGCCATCCACAAGTGGTGAATTGGGGTCCTGCAACCAGTTCCTGGACAGCAGCAAAAAGTTAGACTCAAAGGATGAGCCATCATCATGTCAAGATGCAGTTCATAGTCAAATAGAGGAAGATGTTGCTAACCAGTTAACACAACTTGCATCAGTAATTGAATTCAGTTATACAAAACCAGAGCAAACAAATGTTGAAAGTACATCAACAAACCTTGTGTATAATGTGCAAAAACACAGTCAGGAGAAGAACACAATAAAACCGAAACCACGTTCCAGTTTAAAAAATAACCATGGCTCATCAACAAAGCAAAAGAACAAAACCCGGAAAAAGACAAAATCTGCTCCATCCAGAGAACGGCGGAAAAAGAAGCCTGCAGTCACAAGTTGTCAAGAAAATGATCAGAAAAAGCAGGAAAAGTTGTCATATGAGTATAATAAGTTACATGACATTTGGATAGCGTCTAAATTTCAAAGATTTGGTCAAATTGGTCCACGTGATTTTCCTATTCATTTGGGAAAAATTCCTCCTGTAACCCACGTACGGACAACACTTACTCAAGCAAGTTTAGCATTAAAACACAAGAAATTATTTCCTCCACTGGCTCAGATAAAATTTGAGCGAAATTCTGGATTAGCACAGGAAGAAATGATGAATGTTGATCCGCTGCATCCTCACTCCATATTCCATTTACAAACAGAATCCAATGGGCAGGCGTTTACAGAAGAAGTTTCTAATTCTCAGGTACAGCCCATCGTGCATGTCAGTCAGGAAGCTCACCCTGTACTCCAGTCCTCCTCTCCCACCAATCAGTGTGCTCATGTGATGGCTGACCATGACCAAACACAGTTCCAGCAGGATGTGGAAGACCAACTCATGCATCAGACGCTGCCAGCATTGCCTAGTGTCTCTCATGAGACCCCATCATCGGACCCAGGACAAGTGCTCACGAATGTAAATGTAGAACGTTCAGGTGGAATCACAGTCGTTTCTACCACAAATGAAGACGTGTTTTTATCTAGTGTTGGAGCATCCGAAGTTTCCCCAATAGAAAACGCACATAATTTTCATAATTATGCCATGAACTTTTTAACTAATTCTACAAGAAACCTGGTGTCCACAACGAAAGATTCTGAATTGCCAATCTGCAACTGCCTTGGTAAGTGCATGTGTATGGTGTGTGTGTTTCTCCTTTTACCTGCATTAATTGCCTCCAGTCATGGCCAAATCAAGTTTTGTTTGTTGTATTTTATATGTGGCATTTTGGCCCTATTCATATTCTAGCGAAGGTGGACTACATAATTCTATACTACACATTTTTCTGCCAGACCTTTAATGATGCTGCTCAGGTGAATTCGAAATTCAACTCATAATCAGGAAACTTTCTCAAGTGGACAATTAGCTGATTTCATTCCAGGCTAAATGTCTCAAATTGTTTATTCTGAATATTATAAGAATGAATTTTTTTAATACTGTATTACAGTTTGTTCCTATATTTAAAAAAATGCCTGGCCGGCATGGCTCAGTGGTTGAGCACAAAAGGATTTCCAAGCTATAAGCTTTTGCTTAAAATATTTTTTTTATTGTGAGATATAATATGCATACAGAGAATATAAAATATATGTACAAACTAACAAATGACCATAAAAATTTTCTGTAATTGCTACCTCCAGTCAAGAACTATAACTGAGATATTTCTTTTTTAGTGCCTAGTGCTTTTATGCTCTGTTATATAATTCATAATACTGACTAGTTGAAGAATTTGCAAACCTATTGGAGTTTTAAAATATTGAATTGATTGCCCTGGCCATTGTGGCTCAGTTGGTTTGATGTCCTCTGGTGCGCCCAAAGGTTGCTGGTTTGATTACCAGTGAAGGTACTTGCCCAGGATATGGCCTTGATCACCAGTAGGGGGTGTGTAGGAGACAGTCAATCAATGTCTTGCTATCACATAGATGTTTCTCTTTCTCTCTAAAAATCAATTTTAAAATCTTTAAAAAATATTACAGTAGCCCTAACCGGTTTGGCTCAGTGGATGGAGCATCGGCCTGCGGACTCAAGGGTCCCGGGTTTAATTCTGGTCAAGGGCATGTACCTTGGTTGCGGGCACATCCCCAGTGGGGGGTGTGCAGGAGACAGCTGATCAATGCTTCTCTCTCATTGATGTTTCTAACTCTATCCCTCTCCCTTCCTCTCTGTAAAAAATCAATAAAATATATATTTTTTTAAAAATATTACAGTACTAAAGGACTAAGCTCGAATTCAGAGACAGGCAATCCAAACCCTAGTCTATGTTTGTAATATTCACCATCTGTTGCTTAAAAATCTGAAGTCAAATAGTATAAGTGATTTTCTAAATATCATGACAAATGGAAAAAAGATCTGTAAAATTTATATACCTGAGATAGTCTAATGATACCATTTGCATTAGCTTCAATAGGATGATTGTCTAGTTTCAAGACTCTTTCCTTACACATAGTAACTAGTCACAGTGTAGGAGTTCAGACAGCGAGGCATCAAAGTTTATTGAGTATCTACAATGATCACGGAACTGTGTTTTCCTATAATAATTCCATGTGAGGTTATTGTGCTCATTCTATAGAAATAGGAACTTAAAAGAAGAGAAACAAAAAGCAGACTCGCTCAGGAATCATCCCAAGTGGGACCATCACATTTAAGGGTAAAGGGCTCCCCTGGAGGTATTAGGTTCTAGCAAAATAAGGGCAGTAGCCTCTATCGAGGTCAGGGTTCCTCAAACTTATTGCTATTGGGGTTTTCCACCATATAAACATCTCCTAACTTATTTAACCTATCACGTACTTACAGATGTTAAGGTGTTCTCTCTCTCTCTCGATATTACAAATAATTGTAACTAGGAACATTCTTGTGTACATTTGCATTATAAATACATAATTGTGCAATTGTAGACTAGAACAGATCCTTAGTGGTGAAATTGTTGGGCTCAAATTGTTGGATTCTGAAACTATGCTTTTAGAGGGAACAATTCTTTATTGTAGGGAGACATGCATTGTCACGGTTTAGTGGCATTGCTGGCCTACACACACACACCCCTGCCCAGTTGTCACAGCCAAAAACATTGTCAAATGTTCCATCAAGGAAAATTCACCCTTCATTAAGAACCAGTATTCTAGATAACTAGTAATAAATTGAAATCTATTCAATAGATCTTGCTGCAGAAGCCACAGAACTTAATCTCAAATTGTATTTGGTGCCCAATCAAAATAGTTCAATGATGACATTGTGGTGTAGGTGGGTATACCCTGGCCAATAATATTTAATTCCACAATGACTCTAATTAGGCATGATTCAAGAGACCAACTTAGAAACACTGTTTTCTAATAAATCTGTAATTCACAAAAATTCAAATAGTACAGAACTGTGATGCAAACATCTTCTAAAAATAAAACCTGTTACTTTTTCTACATGAATTAACATTATACTGATTTTAAATTGGTTTCAAATTTTGAAAAATTTAAGACTTTTAAAACACTGTATTTTTGCAATTTGCTTCTCTACCTTAAGAATTTAGTACACCTGAAACTAATACAAAATAATAGAATGCATACTGTAATTGAAAAAAATAAAAATGTTCTTTTATAATTTTTTAGATTTTTTCAGTGATTGTAAATATTATCATATTGTTTTTAATAGCTTTATTGTTTTCCACCATATAAACATCTCCTAACTTATTTAACCTATCACTTACTTACAGATGTTAAGGTTTTCTCTCTCTCTCTCTCGATATTACAAATAATTGTAACTAGGAACATTCTTGTGTACATTTGCATTATAAATACATAATTGTGCAATTGTAGACTAGAACAGATCCTTAGTGGTGAAATTGTTGGGCTCAAATTGTTGGATTCTGAAACTATGCTTTTAAATATATTGTTCTTGGATAAATTTGAATTTTATACCTCAATTATTAATAGATTTCTTAAAAGCAAGAAATTAAGAGAATAAATATGACCCACTTCTTAAAATATATTCCCCCTCCTTCCCCCCTCTGATTCTCAGAGGAAGAATGAATTAGGAACATAAAGTTAAATTTAGGGCTCATTGCCCTACACTTTAATGGCTAAAGCTTACCAAAACCTTGTCAAGATTCATTGTTCTGAATTGGAAAAAAAACACACCCCAAAAGTATAAAAATAGCACTTCCTTGCCCCTACGCAGTTCTGTAAAACTTTGGGTCTAATAATCTTATTCCTTCCACAGATCGAGTTATACAAAAAGAAAAAGGCCCATATTATACGCACCTTGGGGCAGGACCAAATGTTGCCGCTGTCAGGGAAATCATGGAGACTAGGTGAGGAAATACGCTTCCCTGTTAAAATACTGTGGACCAGACTCGATGCAGAGAAATTACCCCTGGGAACAAACATGAGATGAATGGAACACCTTCAGGAGTATGAGATGGATGTTTCTTAGGGCCCAGGAAGAAAATCGCTTGCTGGTGTCCCTGCTCAGTCACTCATCACAGGAGGCACTGGGCACCCAACAACACACTTTAAAGCAAGGCTGTCTTCGTTAAATTCAGAAATATTCACTTTTTATATTATTGTATCATAATAGTAGAAATAGTTCAAATTACCTCTATCAACACCATTCACATTCTTTTTGTCTGTCTGGGAGCCAGGCCATTTTTAAAGAGTGATCTTTAAGGATAAGTAAACAATTGGATATAGCAAAATATCTGCCACACAAAATTAAGTTTTTAACAATAGTAAATAATGACAAGTGTTTGATTTTTATACTTCTGTAAAGCCATACCTTATGCATATTAAGATGTTAAAAGTATATATTGCAATTATTTTCTTTTCACTGTGTTTTATACTCAGGTATGGGCAAAAAGGAAGTGCAGTAAGAATAGAAAAAGTAATATATACCGGAAAAGAAGCGAAAAGCTCTCATGGATGTCCTGTCGCTAAGTGGGTAAGTATTTTGTATTTATACATTTTTCAAAATGGGATTTTTCCACGTATAAAAATTTGTTTTTGCCGAAACCGGCTTGGCTCAGTGGATAGAGCGTCGGCCTGCGGACTGAAAGGTCCCAGGTTCGATTCCGGTCTAGGGCATGTACCTGGGTTGCGGGCATATCCCCAGTGGGAGATGTGCAGGAGGCAGCTGATCGATGTTTCTCTCTCGTCGATGTTTCTAACTCTCTATCTCTCTCTCCCTTCCTCTCTGTAAAAAATCAATAAAATATATATATATAAAAAAAAATTTGTTTTCATTGATTTTAGAGAGAGAAGGAAGAGGAATAGGGAGATAGAAACATTGATGAGAGACAAACATCAATTGGTAACCTCCTGCCATAGAGTTTACATATTTCTGGTTTTCCAATTTATTTCTCTTGTATATCTGAGATGTACAATCATGTAATTTATCCTCCTTTCCAAATTGTATCCTTTTAACTTTTTTCATTTAATATACTTAGTCTACCAGACTAACTCCAATTTTATATTCCTTATTTTGTTCTCATTAGTGAGAACTTTGCAGGGGATTCTCATGATGAACGAACATTCAGGAAAGGCTTCTCCGGGAGGGGAACATCTAAACTGAGATCTGAGTGACAGAAAGGAGACCTGAATATGCAAAGAATACCCCCAAGAATGTAGGAAAGAGCATGTATAAGCAAAGAACATGTGTACAGGTCAAGGAAGAGAGTACATTCCTCATTAATCTTAGAGGGCCAGTGAAGTTGAGGAGGTAACGAACAGAAGCCGGTGAGGGTATGAAGGTAGATAGAAACCAGAGCATGAATGGTTTCATAGGTCATGGTGAGGAATTAGAGTTTTAGTTTACACAGAACCGGAAGCCTGTGATGTATTTTAATTAGGGGTGTGTTATCGGACTGATTTATGCTTTTAAAAAGGGCATTCTGAGAAGATAATTGATAAAGTCTGTATTCGTTACCTGTTGCTACTTAGTGGCTGTGTGCTAATGGCCTCATTTCCTTAAAAGACATCTTAAAGTGCTTTCTCCCGTTAGAGCATCTTGGTTTCCCCCAGAGTGAGTCAATCAAAGGAAAACACAGAGGAAGCCACAATGTCTCTTGTGACATTAGCCTTGGAAGTTGCTACACAATAAGCCCTATTCAATGCAGGAGGAACTATGCAAGGACATAAATACCAAGTGGTGGTGATCATTGGGGATATCTTGGAGACTTGACTAATATGTTATCTTCACTAAACACCAACATGTAAGAATACTAAATTGGCTCAGCCGGTGCTGCCCAGTGGTTGAGCATCAACCAATGAGATGAACCAAGAGGTCATGGTTCAGTTCATGGTCAGACGGACTTGATCCCTGGCAGGAGGCAACTGATCAATCAATGCCTAGGTTATGGGCTCATTCCCCAGTGTAGGAGGCAACCAATGTTTCTATCTCTCCCTCTTCCTTCCTTTCTGAAATCAACAAAAATATGTTTTGTTTTTTTTTAAAAAGAATACTACATTGCTTAGGAAAATATATCTGTCCTAGCCCTATCTGATATATCCCATACCTACTACATCTATCCTGTTTAGCCCTGTCTTCTCTCAAGGGGAAATCCTTGATTTTCTGAATCTTTATTTACAAAATAATTCACATAATACCTTGCACATTTGCTGAATTAAACGGCAGGGTTTTATTCTCAATATTTGGCACTGATAATTTAAATATTATCTATATATGTTCATTATTTCTGAGTGATTTACTTATTTGTCTATTAAGTAGCAAAGGGTAAAAATATCCTCAGGACATCAGGTAGCTTTCGTTGGAGTGAGTGATCCAAAAAAACAATGTAGCTGGGTTGTTTTGAGATTTTTAAAACATATATATTTTTATTAACTTCAGAGAGGAAGGAAGAAGGAGAGAGATATAAACATCAATAATGAGAGAGAATCATTGATTGACTGCCTCCTGCATGCTCCCCACTGGGGATCAAGCTTGCAACCCGGGCATGTGTCCATGACTGGAATCGAACCTGGAACCCTTTAGTCCACAGGTTGATGCTCTATACATTGAGCCAAAGCAGCTAGGGCAGTGTTGGGATTTTAAATGATCCTTCCTGCTTTTGAAAATTTATGTAATGCAATAAGGATACTTACATTGATAGAATTTTGGTATATATATATATATATATATTTTTTTTTTTTAATTAAAACAAGTATGAAGCCTGCAGCCTAAAGATTTTGATAACAACTTTCTGTTAAAGTCCTCTTTTGGTATAATTCTTCTTCAAGGGTTCTTAGGTACAAAGAAGAGTATTTAGCATTTTCCATGCAGCAGCTGCAGCAAAATTAATTTCTTATTTTCCCTTTGCATTATTCAGATTACATGGAATATTTTTATATATAGTAATATTTTGATATATAGTAATAAATATCTGGCCCTTTTCACAAAGAGAATCCAAGGATAAGGAATAAAATAAAAAATTTGATATCTACTAATGACAATTCAAAAGTTTAATTTTGATAACAAAACCAAGCGTTAATTCTACATATCTGATAATTAATGAAGTAGGTTTCAAATGAAGATGGACGTTAGAAAAATCATAATGTTAATCAAACTTCTTGCAAACTTTCCAACTTATCTTATTTAAAATACTTATTTTGCTAATTTACCCAATAAATGTTCTCTTATAAAAAAATAAATAAATATTCGTATTGTTCATTGTTAGTACCTGGAGCAATGCCACGCACAGAGTCAACACTTACTAAGTTTTTGGTTAGTGAATGAATGTGGAACTTAAGAATATTTTAGAATACTGAATTTTAAAAAAATTGTTATCTTGAAATAGTATTGCTGTGGTATTCATTATTAGTTTTTTTTTTCTGAGGCATGGAAAAGTTTTGAGTATTCGAACTAATAGTCTGCTATAGTTGTTTACCCCACACTTTTGAACTACTGATAGAAATTAAATGAAAAATTGAGTGAAAGGATTAGGTTTCTGAATAATTAAGTCCTACATATGGATGCTCTATACAGGATTTTTTTTAAAGGGGGTTTTATAAATAAAATGGAGATAAATCATTTAAAGTAAGGAATCTAGTAAATGTTCAACTAATGGATTTCATTGCCCCAAATACAGTTTCACCTTGCATAGTATGCATTTGTCATGTATTTACCATTAAACTAACTTAAACATTAATGTGATTTTATGTAAAATCGTTCATGTCTCTGTGCAGACTTATATTTGTTAATAATTGGTTGGATTCATATACATATATATATTTTTAAATTGCACATGCTTTTATTTATTTATTTTTTTAGACATATTTTTATTGATTTCAGAGAGGAAGGGAAAGGGAGAGATAGGAACATTGATCCTGAGAGAGAATCATTGACTCACTGCCTCAATCCTGGGGATTGAGTCCACAACCTGGGCATGTGCCCTTGACCAGAATTGAACCTGGGACCCTTCAGTCTGCAAGCCAATGCTGTATCCACTGAGCCAAACCCAGTAGGGCTTCTTTTATATTTTTATTGTGCTACACTTGCCTCCTTGTCTTGAAAGAGTGGGTAATTGCTTCTCTTTTTAGGGGTTACAGGCAGAAAGTCTATCAGCAAATTCTGACTGGGCAGCAAAACTTTCTGAGCCACTCTCACATTATCCTTAATACTGTTTTCTTCCTTCCTTGGAATGTTTCTTTTCCAGGTGGTCATTAACACTCACCCAAAATTGTTAGCCTTTGGCCGACGTTTCACACTCTTCTTCTCTACTGTCACTTTGCATTTGGTCAGGGACTAGTTATATCTTCCCTTAGATTTGGGTGATACAGTCTTTTGGATATACTATGCTCTATTATCTCCTTACACCAGTGATGGCGAACCTATGACACGTGTGTCAGAGGTGACACGCGAACTCATTTTTTTTGGTTGATTTTTGTTTGTTAAATGGCATTTAAATATATAAAACAAATATCAAACATATAAGTCTTTGTTTTACTATGGTTGCAAATATCAAAAAATTTCTATGTGTGACACGGCACCAGAGTTAAGTTAGGGTTTTTCAAAATGCTGACATGCCGAGCTCAAAAGGTTCGCCATCACTGCTTAACACTATTCGCCCCTCCCCAGTTGAGCTTTGCAGTGATGGCAGGACCAGGGAGGAGAATTCAAACCCGCTGTCCAGATAGCGCCTATGGCAGAGCAATTCACACTAATATTTTCCCCCCTAGATTTGTACAATAACATAAACTTTCCTATTTTTTTTCCTTTGTTCTAAAGCTGTGCCTAATCCCCGACTTGATTGTCTTTGGCCTGTACCATGGTGCTGCTTGTATCTGTGCCCAAATTTGGCACCTCTTTCTATATTAACATGTCCATGTAATAAAGGTCGCTGGGGTTCTGGTTTACTTGGGAGAAAACCATTTTATGCTTCAGCGATGAAAATTAGGGAAAAGCTAGTAAGCTGATGTTGTCAGTGATGTTAAACTGACTTTTTTCACTTTGTTTTTGTTATAAAACACTTTTCTTTACTTAAACCTATTGTCTGGTAACATACTAGTAGAACTACTTTTATGTTAGCTTAGTGGCATAGAGTTCATTTTTAAGGGAACTTTTTATTCAACTATCTATATATATGAAAGCCTAAGTGACTGTTACAACCGAACAGTCAGAATGACCAGTCGACCAGTCGCTATGATGTGCACTGACCACCAGAGGGCAGATGCTCAACACAGGAACTGCTCCCTGGTGGTCAGTGCACTCCCACAGCCAACCTCCGTGGTCCCTCTTCCCTGCTAGCCAGCCCCCCTGATAGGCCCCGATCGCTGGCCAGTCCGATGGACCCCATCGTGCACAAATTCATGCACCAGGCCTCTAGTAATGTACATAAAGAAAACTACACAAGACATAAATGTTCAGTTGTACAAAGAGAGCACACCAATGTAATCTCCACCCAGATCAAGAAATAAATCATTACCCCCAAAGGATGAAATTCATTT